TCCAGAGCCATTTTAAGTTTCTAGCCCCACCCCCTTAGAGGGGATGCAGATCTGGGGAACCATTAATTAAAGAAGAAGAGAGGCAAGAGGAAAAGGGAGTAAATTGTGCCTGTGCTGTTGGATGCATATCTTCTTGAAGTGATAACAGATTGCAAGATTAGTTAATGTGTGGACAAACACTGAAGACACACAGACACATCTACATAGAAAGTTTAAACCAAAAAGCTCAAAATAAGCTCCCGCCCCAAAAAAAATTACTAGCACTTTATGATTACCTGATTGTTTTCAAATGTTTTAAATGTTTTCATGTGGATTTTATGGTACCTTGTACCGACTAATGTAAGCCGCCCTGAGCCTGTTCGTGGGGAGGGCGGGATACAAATGGAATAAATGAATAAATAAAAGTAGCAGCTGCAGGTGGGAGAGCAGTAGCTGTGGGAGAAGGCAGTCTGATCGTACAAAGAGACATAGCTGAGTTTGTTTGGCTGCATCCAAACTGCTTGACAAACAATCAGAAAGCTGATGACCAGGATGTGAGCTGAACTGGAGGATATTTGTTTATATTTGATCTTAAATACTAGCAACGGGCATAATTAGCTACCTAGTCCAGACAGCTGCTGATCTCAGTGATAACATTACTTACTGTCTGGTCTTCCACCAGACAAATCTCTGAAAAGAGAAGAGGAAACCTCTGTGGCCTTGAGACAACCTGGGATAATAAAGTTGAAGAAATCCTTTGTTTCCTCTTTCATAGACCAGTCCATTCTTTTCTTTTCTGGCTGGCTGTACTTTGGGGCTACTGCTGTAGATAAGCTAGAAGTTAAAATATAGTTTCAATATTTACATTAAGTATGGGCACTTTAAGTCCTGAAGTTTAGCTTTCACTGGATTTATCAGCCTTTCTTGCTTGTGGGGGAAAATTGCAATGTTTGACAAAAATCATGAAGCCAAAATGAAAACAACAGTATTTTTTAAATATTGATTTAGAGTTAGTGAGACCATTTAGCATATATTGTAATTTTTTTACTATTTGAGGATAAAAATATGTTGCATTTTCAAATATCTTCTGATTCATATTCCCAATTTCCTTTCATTTCATATAGAATTATTTGTTTTGCTGTTTCACGTATCCTGCAGCCATACTTGCCAAATATATAACTTGTCCAAATGATCAGTTCTGACCCAGTCTGTGTTGCACTAAAATATTAATTACAAAACTGAAGCCGTTTGTAGAAAAACCTTTTAGTTTCCATGATTTTCCAGTGTAAAAGAATTAGCACAGTATTCCAGGCTTGATTCTGTCAGTACAAGTCAGAGGGAAGAGGCAGGGCCCTTTCCAGGCCTATTTTGGCCTTTGAGAGGAAGATTCATTCAAACGTCCAGCATTCTTCTTCCAATCCTTTTTATATTCACCTTATTTATCCCCTTTAATATTTTGCAGCCATTTATCCACTTTGAACCAGTGTTTATTGTATTCCGTCTCACTCTTATCTTGAATAGTAAACATTAACTTTTCTAATTCGGCAACTTCCATTATTTTACATATAAATTCATATTTCGTTGGAATATTTTCATTTTTTCAATATTTCGCAAATACAATTCTGGCTGCAACTAAAATATGCATAATTATATAGATTTAATATTTCTTGAGTTTCACCGGTATTAACCCTTTTATGACATTCCAGTCTTTCTTCGCTTTTTTACAGACCCACCAAATATGAAAAAGGTGCCAATATTTTGCTTACACTTTCAGCAGTTTTTGGAAACATTTTTGTTAAATTTATTCTTTCCGGAGTTATATGCCACATATAAACCATCTTAACTATGTTTTCTTTAAAGTTACTAATTTTAATATATCTTTTATTCCTAGACCACACTTTCTCCCATTCATCAAAATCTATATTTCTTCCAATACATTGTGCCCACTTTATCATTTGGGGTTTTACCCACTTATCTTGCATATTGTATTCTAGCAAGAAATTATACACTTTCCCTATGACCTTTCCATTATTATTTATCCACACTATGTCTAAGTCGATAGGTTTAATGTAGAAACCTATATTTTTATCTTTTGCCCATCTTGATTTAAGAGTCGTCTTTTGCCACCAAGTTAAAACTATATTGTTTTTAATTAACTCTTCTTCAGGGATCAAATTCCCTTTTTTATCTAGTAATTCTAGATAGTTCCATTTTGAGTATTTTTTAAACAATGTGGGTTGGGTGAATGCTTCGATGGGAGATATCCATTGTGGTATCTTTTGGTAATGATTATTTTTAATTTTTTCCCAAATTTTAAATAAGGCGCTTCTAATCAGGTGCTGCGAGATATAACTAGTCACTTTTTGGTACCACAAATATGCGTGCCATCCCATCATTAGATCATGGCCCTCAAATTTCAACAATCTGGTATTTTCATGAGTAACCCAATCCTTAATCCAGTTTAAAGCAGCACCAATCTCTTAATTCTCTTGGTTACCAGAGTTGCCAGGTCCCTCCTGGCAACCGGTGGGGGATGGGGAGGGAGGATTTATGAAGAGGAAGAAGGCTTAGGCCTCATGGCCAGCATTGCATAGGAAGTGATGTCATCATGCCAGCGATGCTGGGGTGATGCTCTGGCATTTGGGCAAAACTCTATGGTAAAACCAGCTTCTCTAAAGAAAGTACCAAGTACATGGCTGTAGGTACAAGATAGGCACTATAAAGAACACTTTATTAATACATATAAATAATTGTATATGGTGTTGGTGTACTGACCCAGCAATGTGTGAGATCTGGTTTTGGCCGGTTCTTCATGCGGCCAAGCGAAGGGCCTGAGCTTCGCTCCGGAACACAATAGCTGGTCAGATCCTAGTTCCCTGCCAATCGGGAACCTAGGATCCAGGGGAATAATCTAATCACTGTAATTCTGTAAATAGACCATTCATGGGTGTTGGGTGTATGTGGGTGTGTTTTCTTTGGGACATATAAGCCGGCCTGCGAGCCGGCTACTTTGTCTTGTTTTTCTCCAAATAAAGTATGAGAGCTGAATTCACTAAGTAAATCTCAGTACTTTTCATATAGTTTTATCAGTCCATCAAAATTCAAAGGTTCTCCTCTTCACAACTGGCATGTCAGGTGTGACATAGGCACATATTTTTTCTTGGTAGAGTACTTAGAGGTAATGATCAGTGCAATTCACAATCCATTTTGTAGATAAGTAATGTAGTAACAAATCTCCAGTTTATAGCTCTTCTGTCCAGAGCTCTTTTTGAAGAAAAAGCCCAGCAGGAACTCATTAGCATAATAGGCCACACCCAGCAGCAGAAACTCATTAGCACATTAGGCCACACCCCTGACAGCACAGCTCATTAGTATAATAGGCCATACCCCTGTGCCTTCCCTTGGCTTGCCCAGCACCGCATGACTGCAGGGAGCCCAAGCAAGCCAGCCCTTGGACAGGCCAGGGAAGGCACTGGGAGGCATCAGGAAGTGACACCGAGCACGCTGGGGGCGGGGCCATGACCATCAGAGGGAAAACTCTATGGTCTATATATATATATATATGGTCATCTATAATACTTTTGTAGCCAATTATATTCCAATATTGTAATGCTATCTGCATGTTTCCTGGGGGAAATGTAGCTTTGGTAACAAAATTTGTTTTATCTTCATGCTATTAAAATCACTGTACTAGCAGATTAGTTGAAATCACCTTAAGTTGGTAGGCCATCTGTACACTGATATTTATGTCTTATTAACTCAGCCACAGTAAAATCAAAACATAAAACCTAGTGGATAGCTTTAGGGAATAGAAGACTTTGTGCTCACTCAAAAGTTCTCCACTGACAATTTATATTGCAACTTTTCACACACAAGTAAACTTTCCATGAGCATATTATTGTGCCTGTATCATTACTGATGGGACTGCTGTGGTGGCTCAAGTGGTTAAGTGAGCTCCTGTCTCTAGTTCCAGCTCCTGCCAACCTAGCAGTTCGAAAGCAAGAAATTGCAAGTAGATAAATAGGGACCACTTCGGTGGGAAGGTAACAGCGTTCCCTGCGCCTTGGTGTTTAGTCATGCCGGCCACATGACCACGGAAAAACACGGAGATGAGCACCGCAACCCTAGAGTCGGATTAGACTGGCTTTCGAGCAAGGGAACCTTTACCTTTAACGAGAGCTGGGGGAGCCAGAATAACCTCACAAGCCAGAGATGGAATTTGCCCCTAGGAGTCCAAGGCCACCACCCTGGGGCTCAGGGAGGCGGGGAACGTGTTGCAGCTGCCCCACAGCCCACAACCCGTTGATTGATTAACCCGCTCTACCTCCGACCTTTGAAAAACAAAGAAAAAACGACCTGCCCTCCCCCCAAGTTCTGCTGGGGATTGTAGTCCGACCCGACGCCATCAGCCGCGAGCATTGCGGGTGGTAGAACTACACTTCCCAAGAAACTATATTTCGCCCCGCCCACATCAGCTGCAGCTCAGGAAAAGGCATTTTGCAGACTGCGGGGCTGCAGTTGCTGCCGGTTGTGGGAGGCGGAGGAACGTTTCGCCGCCGCCGCCGCCGCCGCCGCCGCGGAGAGAGGTGGAAGTTGCCCCTAGGAGACCAAGGCCACCACCCCGGGGCTCAGGGAGGCGAGGCCGTTGCAGCTGCCTCCGACAGCCCACAACCATTACCCCCTATATAGGGGGTGGTGCCACACCCCATTGATTGATTAACCCGCTCTACCTTCGACCTTTGAAAAACAAACAAAAAACGACCTGCCCTCCCCCCAGGTTCTGCTGGGGATTGTAGTCTGACCCGACGCCATTAGCCGCGAGCATTGTGGGCGGTAGAACTACTCTTCCCAAGAAGCTATGTTTCGCCCCGCCCCCCGTCAGCTGCCGCTCAGGAAAAGGCATTTTGCGGACTGCGGGGCTGCAGTTGCTGCCGGCTCTGCAATATGGCTCGTCTGCTGCGTGGGGTGGGCGCTGTGGGCGCCCGAGGGATGGTGCAGCACCCTAAGCTGTGGTACTCCAGGAGTTTCTCCTCTACGCGGCGGCGGTGCTCGCCGGGCTGGGGTTGGCGCGGCGGGCAGAGATGGCGCGCCAGCAAAGTCAGCCCGAGGAAGAGACCGATGGAGACGGGAGGGGCGGCCTGGCGCGGCGCTTCGAGGGCTTCGTGGCTCCGCCGGTGAGCGGGATGCGCGAGCTGCGGAGCCGGCGCGGGGAGATGCGGAGCCGCATGGAGATGCTCATCATGGAGACGCAGGGCCAGGTGTGCCGCGCCTTAACCCAGCTCGACGGCGGCGCCTCCTTCACAATCGACCGCTGGGAGAGGAAGGAAGGTGACCGACTCCCGTGGGGAAGAGAGTTCCCTTCCTGAGACGCACGCGATCGAGTTTCTTGTGCTCCGGAGTAACTAGTCTGAAGGAGCCACCGAGTTTCCTGGCTGTACTCCCGAGGCTGGATTCGATAAATCTTGTCACCTGGTTTGTTTAGAGTTTAATAGTTAAACAATAATAATCTAACCTGCCTCGAGCACTTTGGTGTGGGGGGGCGTGTGCCATACTGATGCCTTAAGTAGATGCTCCTGAGTCACCCCCACTGGTTTTCCTGGGGATTACTTTGTGGTAAGCCTTTGGAGGACTGAAGTCATATAATGCATTTTATAGCCCATCTGTAACTCGCAAGTTTCAATAACAAAGATATAAATCGCTAACCTACGTCGCAATTCTTTCTTGACTTGTAAATTAATGCTGAGTAGGTGAATGTGCTTTTATGACAGGTTGGTGCCAAGGTGTTAAAGGAGTCTGTGTGTCTAATTTGCAATGAATAATCCTGCATCCAATAATGCTGGTTATGTACCATGCATTTGAGTAGCTGGGAGAGCTGATGTCCATGTTATAGCTGCTACAGTAGTGTGATTTGAGTAGCTGGGAGAGCTGATGTAGAGTGGCTGTCCATGTTATAGCTGCTACAGTAGTGTGAAGGGGATTTCAGACTGTGCATTAGTTACATGTTAACACCCTATAGTTGACTGGTTATATTTACAGTTTGTCAGTACAGCTGCTTTGGCATCTCCCTTTGGTTATGGATGAATGAATCCATAGAAAGTGTGAGCACTGAAGCAAGATGTGTTAGTCTGGAGTACAAGAATGTTGACTTTGTGTATGATGGAAAGTGTCAAAGATAAGGAAATCGCAGGTTTAGGAGAGGCTTTACAATAATTCTTATGTAGTACCTTTACAGCGTCTGGGGTTTTTGTATGGAATCATGGTTGGCTGGCTGTTTAGATGGCTTGGTGCTCGTGAAGTAGAATCACTCTCCTGTTGGCCTGTGTGCTCATAAAGCATTTTCATGGGACTTTGTGCTCACATGGGCATGGAGCTGCTAAAGTGAGCTGCTGCTCAAGCTTTTTTGCTGCTACCCATGAAATACAGCTCAGTTTAAATGAGACCCTATGTGAATTTTTGCATTTCACTAGCATTGTATTTGACTTAAGCCAATAATTCTATGCAGGAGAAGGAAGTTCCATAAAATTCTGTGTGCTTACTGAATAACAGTGGAGCATTTGATTTAATATTGCTTAACAGTAATACAGTTATTTCCTCTGTAAAGCAAAATGTCCCTGGGCAGCAAATTAACAAAAGGGGAATAGGATGCATTGTAAGTGTTGTCAGTTACCACTTCTACACATCTCCTAGTTAACTACATGTGCTTGCTTCTGTTAGAAATCCTCCTACAATAAAGTGTTGTGAACAAATTGGGACCATTTTTATAAGCAACATTCTTAAATGGCTTGACACTGTTTATTTGGGTGTTGATTTTGTGGGTAGGCATTACTTAGTGTGTATCTGAGACCTACAGTTCAATCCGGCTATGTGAGATTGGGAGGATAAGACAGGAGGGGCCAGCTCTGAGGTCTTATCTAACTTCAACAAATATCAGAGAGCCCCACCTATTAAAAAACTGTAAGGATGGTGTGTGTTTTTGTCCTATATTAATTATGGGTGAAAGGCTTCTAACACAGAAATATATACTTGTGATATATAGAGAGTTATGGATAGGCTAATCGTCAGCTCCGTACTCTTCATTCCACAGAAACGCTACCAAATTGTAGAGGTTTGTTCTGAAGGCAAAGGATTCCAGCTAACTATCCTTACAAACAGGCCATCATTCGAATCGTATAAACTGGTATAATAAAATTGTTTGACAGCACAAGAAAATGCTGGTTCTTGTATTGAACAGGTGGTGGAGGCATCAGCTGTGTTCTTCAGGATGGTGAAATCTTTGAGAAGGCTGGAGTTAACGTGTCTGTAGTGTTCGGCCATCTTTCTGAAGAAGCTGCTCAACAGATGAGAAGCAGGGGAAAAACTCTGAAGGCCAAGGATGGTAAGACATGCTTTTATTTAAAATTGGTTGAATTTAGTATTACTAAATGGATGTTTCAAAAGCAAGTGCCTAGACTTCTGTTTTTGTGCTTACATTTTATGTGCAGAGAGTTTTTCATTGTTTTGTGGATCTCGTGCTTTTAATAATGTTCGTTCTGCCTCTTGTTCTTGGTGTATATGTGCAGTAGAAGGAAGTGATAAAATCCAAAGCAGGAAGAGTGAACTGTGTACCACTTCTGACTGCAGGTGAAAGATACCGTTCTTTCTCTAAGGTAGTGCTAAACCATTCTGCCACTACTGAGCAGAACTACCCTTCACTCTGTCTTGCTGTTTTTCTGAGCCAGGCCTGAACTATCACTGTTCTGTCTGAGGCAGAACTCAACTCCCACTGCATTCTTTCTGAGGTAGACCTGAACTAAACTCCTGCTGTCCCTCTCTCGAACCTTTCATCCCCCTCCTGAAAGGTGGTTGGATGCTGAAGCCACACTCCCATAGGCTCAGCTGTTTTTTCCCTTCAGGGACAGGACAGCCTCCTGTCTGTCACAGTAGACTAGGCATTCTACTGCTTTAGAAACCTCAACTTTTCTCCACAGTTCCTTCTAAGGTAGTTCTAGTTAGGTAGGGAATTTACAGCCTCCAGTCACACAGTGAAATAAGTGTTGAGGTGCTGCAAAAAGAAATCCATGGTGGTGGCAGTAGCTTGATTTACCCTTTGGCTCTGTTTGATTACAGCTGCCACAGTCTTGTATTGCTAAAAACTGTGGCCCCAATTCTATGGACAACTGGTGGTTTCCTGTTGCCCCCACCAAAGATATTATATGTTGTCATGTCCTCTTTGAACACCAATGCTTCTCTCTTGCCAAACCCACTAGTCCTTACTGTTACCAAGAGTAAGTGATACAATCCCAAATTCTTGCATTCTTCAGTCCAGTGCTGCTGCTTATATGTCAGAACTTTTAGTTACATATATCATAAATTGCTTTAGGTCAGACTTTTAAGAAATGTGTTTGTTTTGTATTAAATAAGCCAGTATAATATTATCAGGCAATACCAGAAAATGAAGTTACTTGAACGTTCTCCTTGAGATGTTTCCTAAACCTTAACAGAATTCTGAATTATGGGAATGACAATAATTTAAAAAGTATTTCTCTATTAAGTTTTTTTTTAATACACAGAAAAAGCCCCACATATAACATTAATTCTTAGAATTCTCCGCACATTGTTGTTGTTGTTCAGTCGCACAGTCGAGTCCGAATTTTTGCGACCCCATGGACCATATCACACCAGGACCACATCACGCCACATCTCCCCACATAGTTCAGAAGAAAAATCTCTGGAGGAAAGTATTAAATGTTAATTTCGTTTTAAAGGGACAAATTCCATGCATTGCTTATGGGATGCAAGAAACCAAAACAGCAGCTAGAAAATGTTAAGCACTAAAACATGGTATGTAATATTTTTACTGTTGTCTGTTTTTGTTTGTGTTGCTGTCTAGGAAAACTGCCTTTTTGTGCCATGGGAGTAAGCTCCGTTATTCATCCAAAGAACCCTCATGTTCCCACTATACACTTCAACTACAGATACTTTGAAATTGAGGAGGCGGATGGTAAGATCTAGAATAAATGTAAAGAATGTAAAGAACAATGGAGCCCAACTTCAGAGAGGCCTTGTAGTTTGTCAGTGGATTAGGAATCCCCTTGAAATTATTTTCTAAGGTGTGGTGAAAACTTTCATATAGTATTTAATTAGATTAATTTTTATTTATTTATTTATTTATTGAATTTTTACCTCACCCTCCCAGCCGAAGCTGGCTCAGGGCGGTTTACATAAAACAGATAAGTTGCATTAAAAAATAAGTTACAATTAAAACAATTCTAAAACCATAATAAAGTGCTAGTAGTCGTTGTTCGTTTGATGGTGGCAGCCATTATTCAGTGTTCTTCACTCACAGTCAGCTTGCAGTATTCATTTTTTATTGTCCTTGCAGTGCTTAATGTCCTTTAGGCTGTTGATAGCATTTTCAGGGGTCCAGGGCCCTCTCACATTCAACCATCTGTTGTTCAGTATTGGTAGTGGAGGTGGCTCCCAAAAGCCTGGTGGAAAAGCTCCATTTTACAGGCACTCAATTTCACAGGCCTACAGGTCCCACAGGGCCCTGATCTTCTCTAGAAGCATATTCCACCAGAATGGGGCCCCCACCAAGAAAGCCCTGGCCCTGCTTATCGACAGCCTAGCCTCAAGACCTGGGAGGGCCAGTTGGTTCTGAGCCCCTGATCGCAATGCTCTTTAGGGCAAAGGCGGTCCCTCAGGTATGTAGGTCCATGACCATATAGGGCTTTAAAGGTAAGAACCAGCACCTTGAAACTAATCCAGTATGCTATTGGCAGCCAGTGCAGTGCCTTTAGCACAGGCTGTATGTGCTTCCTTCTAGAGAGCCCCATCAGAAGCTTGGCTGCGGTGTTTTGCATCAGCTGCAGCTTCCAGATTTGAGACAAAGGCAGCCCCATGTAGGGAGCATTACAGTAGTCCAATCTTGAGGTGACCATCGCATGGATCACCGTTACCAGGTCATTGTGTTCAAGGAAAGGAGCCAACTGCCTGATCAGCCGAAGATGGTAAAAGGCCGATTTGGCAGTAGCTGCTACCTGGGCCTTTATAGTTAAGGAGGCATCCAGGAGCCCTCCCAAACTCCTAACCTCAATCTTTGGACTGAATGTTTTGCTCTCATGCTTCAGAAACATAGGAAAGGCTAAGATGCCATTTGGAGAGGCAATAGGAGGAATCAAATAGCTGTGAAATATCTTAAGGAACAAGACTATGACCTTTATTCATGATATATTTCAAAGGCAACTTTTTCCTCACAGGATGTGAACATTATCAAAGTAGTTTGGTGTCTTAACACACATACAAAAATGCATTTTTATTTAATTGTGGGCTTCATGTACTGCCCCTCAGTTATCAGGATCTTGTGTCAGTGAAAACATAATATAAAATCTAATAATATAATGTAACCAATTGCATAACGTAACAGGAAGTCTAACCCAGCAGTCGACAAATCCCGAGTCAGGTCACAATGGCGCCTAGAAATTTAATTGTGGTGCCTAGTATTTACAGCAATGATTTTATTGTAAAGTCTCTCAGTGATCCTCAGAAGAACAGATGTATCATTTCACAGAATGTTTTGCTGTATAAAAGTACATATGCCTGTCATTGCTTCTTTCAGTGGTGGTATGTGAACTCATTTCTTAACTACTTGCTTTCTAGATTGACTCCAATATTCAATTAAACAGAGCTTTTTAAAGCAATAATGAAGTTATGAGAAATTAGCTTTTTGTCATCGCTTTAATGAAATTATGATAAACCGTGCAGAATTTAGGGTTAGGTTTTGAGGTAATAGAATTAGAAAATGTAGTCACTAAAAGGCTGGAAAATGAGCCTGGCTCCTAAATTTTGAGGCTGGCTCTTAGAGCCAAAGAAAATTTGTCAAGGCCTGGTCTAACCAGTAACAATAAAACCAATTTAAAAAACACAGCTGAAACAAGAAACTTGTTATGAGGGAGAGGAGGGAACAATAAACCTGTTATGTGGAAAGGGAGAGAAAACCAGTATCAGACAAACCAACACAATCAGTTAAATACCTGAGTGAACAAAACTCAGCACGTGAAATTGAGAAAAATCAGGCAGATCACTTCTCACAAATAGAAAGCCACTAAAGAGAGATGCTGCCCTCTTTCTGGTAGCCTCCCACCTTATTTCTGAAGGCCAGGACCTGCGTAGGCCTTCACAGATAACTGACTTTGTCTGACACTTTTCACTTATGAAAAATGACTTAACTGAGCATTTTTCTATACAGCTGTTTTCTTGATTTATCCTAACTATTGTGGGAACTGTTGTGTTCCTTTACTGTCTAGTTTTCTTTGGTATTGTATAATGTTATGACACGCACACGGCAGGAAATGTGTGACCAGGAGACCAGACTTTTGTTTGTTTGATTTTTCTGGCGTGTGGCTTTTAGTTTTGCTTTTTCCAAACTTTAAACATGTCAATGGTTACAAATTAAATAAGTCATAGTATTAGATGAACCCTGACCTGGATAGCCCAGGCTAGTGTGATTTTGTCAGATCTTGGAAGCTAAGCAGAGTTGGCTTTGGTCAGTCTTTGGAATGGCAACCACCAAGGAAGTCCAGGGTTGCTATGCAGAGGCAGGCAACAGCAAAACACCTCTGAATGTCTCTTGCCTTGAAAACCCCATGGGGGTTGCTATCAGTCAGCTGTGACTTGATGGCAAATATATATATGACAGTCTTCTTTTTCTAGTAGTGTCCTACAGAGACCCATAATATATATTGACAAGTTTATGTAAGGCAGTTAATTTAATTAGTATAGTTGAGTCAGTAAAAAGCTTTACAGTGCTTCTGGTATTACTAGAGGAAACATGAGAATGCATTGGTTTCACAGGTAAAATATATGGCAATCCCCCCCCCCCCCAATAGGTTCAAAACAGGGGTGGTTTGGTGGTGGAACAGACCTTACTCCAACTTACTTGAATGAAGAAGATGCTGTTCATTTTCATAAAACTCTAAAGGAAGCCTGTGATCAGCACAATCCAGAACTGTACCCTAAATTCAAGAAATGGTACGTAAGTAGCCCCACTCTTTTTTGCCTCAGAGGTTGTTATAAAGCATCATGGGAGGGGGAGCAGTTATCCTTTAATTTCAAGCTGGTTTTGACTTTTTCCCACAAACCTGATGCCTTTTCTGGATTATTGAGGACTGCAGAACTCATTTTCCTGTGGAGATTTTCCATGACCATCAGCTGTTCTCTATCTGAACCAGTGAAAGAAAGAACCCTTCGTTAGAACATTTTTAGTTTTGTTCTTAAACAGGCCACTTTTTTGAGATTATTCTAAATTAGGCTTCTCAAGCACAAATCCTGTATTACCACCTTGAAGAGGAATGAATGTAATCACCCCCCCCAAAAAAGAAAGGAGCAGGGGTCCTTATAATAGCCAGAACTAGGGTTGAGAATGGCCAGAAAGCACTCGTCCCCTTTTCTTGCATGGCACTGCTCATCTGCTTTTGTCCCAGCTTATTCTTTCATTGTTATTCATCTTTCTTCCACTGTGATAGCAGCTAGTCTTCCAAGCAAATGTGTGAGCTCTTCTGCCAGCTTGTGAGAAACTTGTCATAAAGAACAGTTTCCATTACACAATAGCAAGCCAAGGTAGTCTTCAGCAAATCTGCTGAATGGGCTCTAGTTCACAAAATTTTGTGCTGAAATAAAAATGTGATGGTCATCGAATATCCACAAGACCCCTGCTTATCTTTGGGTGAAGGTTTATTTAAATCCTCAACCCTTATATGGTTGCACCCAGATAATTGAGGTATGGCAGGTGTTGGCTTTTTGAAGACAGGCCTCCTAAAGTGCTTAATCTATAACAAAGCAGCATATATTGTATTGTTATGTTTCAGACAAAATTCTTTTTTTTAGCCCCTCGAAGGGGATTTTTAAAAAATGCATTTTCTATAAACTACAAAGAAACAACGAAAGGCTACTACAAACTACAGGATAAAGTAAAGAAAACCACTAAAACCCAAGAGATGGAGGTCATATTAAGCTTAAACAAAAGAAAAACTAATTAATATACCATTTGTAACATTAAAAGTGATCCAAATATCGCTTAAATTGTCAGTTCCATCAAATCTGACTATATAAAGAGTAATCCAATAGCAAAGCTAATTGTCAAAAATGCAAATTTCAGGAATCCTTAACATCTCATTTTTATAACTTTTGTCCCTTAATTAAAAGCTTATTTAAAACCAAATTTCCCTCAGCAAGTTTAATACAGTCTCATTTTCTCTTCACCTATTGATGTCTTCTTTCATCTTGTCCTATAAATCCATATATCGAGAACTGGCCATACTTTAAGACAAAGTCAGTTTTTCCTTTTGATCGTTTATATTCTTTCCTTCAATCATAAGGGTCATTCCATTTTAGCTTTTCTCTGTATTACTCTAAAGAGTCCAACCATAATCTTGCCTGGCAGATTATCTTCCTTGTTTAGTATGGATACGTCCATAAGTCACATCCATTTGCTTAATATATTTTCACTTTATGCCCAGGCTCAACCTCATAATTCCTGGAAGCCTCTATGATCTCTGGAGGGTTCATTAATTTGATGAAAGTTGTAAAAGTTTATTCTTGATGGTTAATTCTGTCCTTTCAAAAATCGTTGTAATAAAGCACAGTTCATCGTTTAGTCCAGGAGAGGGCACAGAACTTCAATTCATGACTTGGAAGAGTCTATGATATCAGGTCATATGACTATGCTCCCACTTCCTGAAGAAGGGATGGACTTCATTTGTTTCTCCGTCTCCGCTTTGAATTGCCATCTTTGGGGAAGTTTACTCGCTTCTTTAAAAGGTTACAAAAGTCCTGAAAATTTTGCTGCACACTTAGTCGCCTCTTGAAAACTCCTTATTATAGTCCCATGTTGCTTTTAGCTCCGTCTCCCCAAGAAGTGATTTTAATTCTGCTTATTTTTCTGGGGGGAGAGTTCCCTCCCCCCACTTATTTTGGGGGACTTCAAGCCAGTGCTCTGGTGATTTCGCTTTAACATGACTCACTCTTCGACATTGATCTGAGAATCTCTCCATATTCAGGTAACTCGCCCAACCTCCACACACTCGTCTCAGTCAGCAGCTCTAGTTCCTTGACGGAAGCTCAGTGGCGGGACCATTGGGGCAGAAGAGCACCTCAATCTACCGGCATCTTGCCGGGAGAGAGGCAACCCTTAAGCGCCCCGTGGCTGGGAGCCCATTGCAAGGGCTCTGGGGGTGTGTGGCATGGACGTTCCCTCCCCCTCCCAACTGCTGGCTCATGGAGCTCCCCGGGAATGCGGCCACCATCGAGATGCCATAAACCGGAAGTCTCAGACAAAATTCTTAGTCTCTAGAGTGGAGCAGCTTTCCTTGCAGTAGAAGCTTATGCTGTTGAGCAACTAAAGCTTATACAGACAGATTTAAATATATCTCTGTTTCCCAGTTTATTCCTCGTATAATAAAGAAATATGTCTGCCGTGACTGGCATCCTAAATGGTTTGTTAGATCATATTCAGCTTACAAAACTGAAAATCTGCTATGTATTATTTCTATGTTAAAATTGAATGGAACAAGGGAGATGCGAGTCACCCCACCCACATAGGAGGTGAAGGTTACTGTTTGTACTTAAAAGACTGGTTTTGCAGTACACAGCATGTATTTAAAAATCTGAATGGAAGTTTACTGCCAATACAATGCTTTGGGGGACTTGTTTGTGACTCTTACCAAAGGAGGAGATATATGCTGCTTGATTGTTTGTTCATATTTCAGTAGCTTAATGTACGTTGGGGGAGGGTGTTAAATTTTACATTTGTTTGCTGTCTGTGACTTGGGTGGTCGTTGGTTTCAGGTGTGATGACTATTTCTACATCAAGCACCGTGGAGAAAGAAGAGGGATTGGAGGCATATTTTTTGATGATCTGGACTGGCCCTCAAAAGAGGAAGCCTTTCAGTTTGTTCAGAGCTGTGCCAAAGCCATTGTGCCTTGCTACATTCCCATTGTAAAGAAGCACAGTCACGACCCATTCACACCAGAGGAAAAACTGTGGCAGCAGATTCGTAGAGGGAGGTGAGTGACTAATGACCTTGTAGGCTGACAAGAAAAAATGGCATCCAGGCCCTCAGTTAATGTATCCATTGATCTTAATAATGCATAACTTCCAACTCTGTTGTTAGTCAAACACAATGTAATTCGCTTCAAGTGGTAAAGAATCTTTTTCAATAGGGTGGCATCAGCCCAAAGTTCGCTTTGGTAGGTGTAGTGGTTAAAATGTCTCACAAGATATCTGAAAGACCCAGGTTGAATCCCCATGCTTCCATGGGAGCTTGCTGGATGCCCTTAGGCCAGTCACACGCTCTCAGCCTAATCTACCGCACAAGGTTATTGTGAGGATAAATTGGAGAAAGGAAGAAGAAGAGATTGGATTTATACCCCACCCTTCACTACCCAAAGGCGTCTCAGAGCGCCTTACAATCTCCTTTCCCTTCCCCTCCCCACAACAGACACCCTGTGAGGTAGGTGGGGCTGAGAGAGCTCTGACAGAAACTGCTCTTTTTCAAGGACAGCTCTTATCAGAACTATGGCTTGCCCAAGGTCATCCAGCCAGGTGCAAGTGGAGGAGTGGGGAATCAACCCGGTTCTCCCAGATTAGAGTCCGCGCACTTAACCACTACACCAAACCACTACACAAAACGTTGAGTATTGTAAGCCACTTTGGGCACCCACTGGGGAGAAAAGTGGTGTATAAATGAAATAAATCATGCACCGCTTGCGTGTTGCTTGAAAATCCACTGGGATAGTTGATTTTCTGGCCCACTGTTTGTAAGTCAGTGTGTTAGCAAGTTCTGAGTCTCTCTGGCTGTTCAGTAAAATTATCAAGTTTCTCTTCTCCCCTAAGTGCTATATGGCCTGTTGCTGATGTGAGCAGTTCTTTTTAAAAGGTGTTGTCTTAAGCAGAGCATTATTTTTGCAAGATTAAGGCATTGTTCATGGAAAAGCTATGTCACAGTACTTTGTGCCTCCTGATAAACCATGTGTCTTCTGGGATTAAGCTACGTGTGGGAGCTACATTGACATCTGTTTTTTCCTGCACTAAGATAAGGAGCTTTGGGCTAACCATGAGATAAAAGGAAGTACTTCTTCACCCAAAGAGTGATTAACACATGGAGTTCACTGCCACAGGAAGTGGTGGTGGCTACAAGCATGGACGGCTTCAAAAGGGAATTAGATAAGCATATGGAGCAGAGGTCCATCAGTGGCTATTAGCCACAAGGTATAGATAGGGGCTCTGGGGCAAGTGATGCTCTGTCATCTTGGTGCTTGGGGGGAGGTCAACAGTGGGAGGGCTTCTAATGTCCTGGCCCCACTGCTGGACCTCCTGATGGCACTGGTATTTCTGGCCACTGTGTGACACAGAGTGTTGGACTGGATGGGCCTTTGGCCTGATCCAACATTGACGTCTCTTATGTTCTTATGATAGTAAGTTGATCGATGTGTGTTTTAGTGCAGGACAGGTAGTGCACTAAACCTTCAAAATTTCTGGAAGTGGGGACCATTTGATAATCTAAGGGCATAAAAGGCAGGGGGAATGAAGGGAGAACTCCAGTTAGTGACAGAGACACTCAGAGAAAGTCCCCCTTTTTTGTGACAGAAAGCAGTAAAAGAGACCTGATTTAAATGATAGGTTGTACTGAGAGAAAACAAAGCTGTTGTCGTACAGAAGAAGTTTCTTCTTGGCTGTGTTGTAGAAATGACAAAACTATGACAAGAATTTAGGGTAATTTTCATTCCGTCACGATTGGGCTTTTAAGTGCATACTTATTTGATACTCCATTAGTACTGCTTATTTGGTAACGTACGTTCCATCTCTGGCAAGATGTCTGTTTATACTTCATGTTCTTCCAAGGAGACAATGCTGAGCATTTATTGCTGCATAGATGCTGAAGTAGTTCCCAGACTGATGTCCTTTGTTTATAAGAAGCTCGGTTTTGTTCTGTTTGCTCATTGTGCATGAACTCAAAAGTTTGCATGCTAATGCTATTATTTTGGATAGTATTTTGGCTCCTTAGGTGTAGATAGCTCCCTGATGACATCCTCCTGTGACAGCATCTCTTTCTTGTGTTCTCCAACAGGTATGTGGAATTCAATCTGGTGTATGACAGAGGTACAAAGTTTGGTCTTGCAACACCAGGATCTAGGATTGAAAGTATACTTATGTCGCTGCCACTCACTGCCAGGTGAGAACCCAATCACACTTATGCAGACTTGCTAAGCATTCTTTCATAGAAAGCAAACTAGTTCTGTTCTTTTTATTGTAAATAAGGTACCACTGCAGTGGGCTTAAAACGATTTGCCTGATACAGCTCTGATCTTATTGTAACTAATGTTATGCAACCATCTTTGATGCTTATCCCCATATATGCTGAAGGGTGTCTTGAGCCAGTTCAGTGAGTCCCAGCTGAAGTGGACATCCCGTTAAGCGGCTCTGGTCACCTGCTTCCACATTTGGTTTTCCACTGCTGGATTGTGTTGCCCTGCTTGTTAGATGTGGAGGTAGATGCTGTAGCCTGCTGCCATATGGTGTGAGCTGTAATTTGTTGATGTGCTTTCTGTACACCTGACGCTGTACTGTTACTGGCTGCAGAGCTAACCTGAATCATCTTGAGTATGGTGGAGTGGTAAGAGGAGAGACAAGCAGGCATCTGGGGCTCTTCATTGACTCCCAACAGGAATGTTTATTTATTTTTTTATTATTATTTATTTATTTTGAACTTTTGCCCCTTCTTTCATAGGCAGAATGTTACACTGGCATGGGGGATGGGAGTGAGCCCTGACCAGACATAAGATTCCAGCTAAGCCCTGCTCTTCACCTGCTTCACTGCCAGTTGGTCTGCCTTATTTCATGTTGAACTGTTAGTCTCTTTCACACACGCTGAAGAATGCATGCAGTCCACTTTCAATACAAGTGTTTCAAACAGCAAAATCCAGTTGCAAAGTGTTTTCATGTTGGTCTCTTTCACACACGCTGAAGAATGCACACTCAGTCCACTTCCAATGCAAGTGTTTCAGACAGCAGAATCCAGTTGCAAAGTGGATTTAAAGTACATTATCCAGTGTGTGAAATCACATCATCTCTGGCTCTTTATGCTAGCCTATCATTTTGCTGGGCCAGAATAAAGGGATTTTGTAACAATCCTAAACCACTCAGTGGGCATAACATAACTATAGGATCTCTCTCTCTCTAGAATGCCTTAACAAAAATTTATTTGAATTAAAAAAAACACCACAAAGTGAAATTTAGTTAATTGGAAAGTAGACCACTTTGTTTTGGAACATAAAATACAAACTGAACACTAATGTTAGTAAATGTTCAGTATGTTGTAATCAAAACCACATCTTCCTGCTTCTTACAGGGAAGTAGAGATATATATAAATAGTTTGTGATTAAGATGCTGAGCTGCAGACTGGAAGGTCTGTTCCTTGGCAGTTTGAGACTCTAGTGCCGTGTGATGGAGTGAGCTCCCGTCTCTGGCCCCAGTTCCTGTCAACCTAGCAGTTTGAAAGCAAGAAACTGCAAGTAGATAAATAGGTACCGCTTTGTTGGGAAGGTAACAGTGTTCCATGTGCCTTGGCGTTTAGTCACGCCGGCCACATGACCACAGAGAAGTCTTTGGACAGTACTGGCTCTTCGGCTTGGAAATGGAAATGAGCACAGCCCCCTACAGTCAGATTCGACTGGCTTTCAAGAAAGGGAAACCTTTACCTTTAATGATACAATATGGAGTGGGAGAAAACTAATGCCTGTGTTGTTTTTCCTCCCCCTCTTCCTGTATGCAGGTGGGAATATATGCACTTGCCTCCAGAGAATTCCAGGGAAGCAGAAATTCTAGAAGTTTTACGCCAGCCCAGAGACTGGGTGCACTGACCAGCAGCCTCGGCTGCGTCTAGTCAGCCACGGGAAAGGATATGAACTCCTGCTGGCTCGCTCTTCAAACTGCTATTGTGCTGCAGTTAATCTTTGTCTACTTCTTCTCTTATGTGCCTTAGAAATAGTAAATTATTGTACATATTGTTCCCTTGAAAAGCCACAAGCTGCTCCAGACACAGTGTCTTGTGAGATTAACTGACATTTGCGCCGTTGTGAAGTGCAGGGGGGAAAAGGGCTCCCTGTGGTGCACTCAAAATGTGATCAGAACAGAGTGTTATCAGATGCTCTGAGCTGTTATGTTTTTTTTCACAAGCTACAAGGGAGCTATTCTAGGGGCCATTTGTAATTTACACTTATACCTGACACTATTTGCGAAATGTTCCTAGCTTGCTTCAGTAGTTGTATGTATTGCTTAATGGTGCTTGTTTGTTAAATCGTGTATTTTAAAGAGAGTTTACTTGATCTGCATTCAGTTGACCTGTGCTGACTTGCTGGATATGTCGCACTGTAAGAAAACCTCTGCCACACAGATAGTGCTACATAACTTGTAAACTGTGAGCAAAAGACATCAGCATGCAGCACAGCAGTTTTCTGTCATTAAATAAAGCATGAACTGTGATAGCATAGCTCAGGGCCAGAAACCTTAAGAATAGGAACCATCAGCACTTTTCACATTTTGCTGCTGTACATTAGAAAAGGCAGCAATTTCAGGTTCCAGTGTCCAACAATGCCACAATCAATCAATATATAAACTGTGGGTGCACAAGGGTGTGGTTTGTACACACACATGCTTGATCTTATGCACATGTAGGTCTTGCAAACCACTGAAGCCTGGATAGTCTGGAGGAAGTTATTTTGGCACTTTTACTCAAGCATCTTTAATCCAGTGTTTTCCAATGTTTTCTCTCTCTGCCTTTGAGGCTTGATAATATTACTTGTGGAAACAAGTTGCTTCAGGAGCAAAAGCTTAAGAGGATATAAACAGGAATAAGCAGTGATAATTTAAACCAGTTTCAAGGATGTGTTTAATTTGCTTTTGTATTTTCCACAACTATAAATAAAATGAAAAAAATTATACATGTAGTTTTTTAATGGTTCTTTTCCACAGTCTGTCCTTCATTAACACTATTTACAAGGGTCTCATTCCAAACTAAACATTTTTATTGTCATTTTTTGAAAATGCTGTAGCACTGTGAGGCAGTGAAAGCACGCTAATTCTCGCTGGGTTGGCAAAACTCACTGAGAACCTGTGTGCTGTATCTCCATCTAGTGGGAAGCAACTTGCAAAATGGAGTGTTTGGGAGGATTTGTGGTACAAGGGCAAAAGATACCTCTAACATTACAAATTATGGTGCTCTGACCTTTTAGGACAATTGGTTGAATTAAGATACTTACTGGTTACTACTTTTGATTGTTTCAAACCTTGGATTCTGCATATGGGAATCACACATGTACGTTGATTCTCATTTTTTCCCCTCTTTGGTACAAAAGTTTTATCTGAGGGAAACAGCAAGATGAGTCAGAGGGTATGATGCACATTCCTCTTTGGTACAAAAGTTTTATCTGAGGAAAACAAATAGCAAGATGAGTCAGAGGGTATGATGCACACAAATACACTGATATGGTATTATAGGAGCAATATGAATTTTAAGATTTTCCTATTGCACTTTGGGACTGGTATCTGAATGTCCTGTATTCTGCAATATTTGAATGTACTTTTACAATGCATTTTACATCACTTTTGCTTGTGGGTTTAAAAAATTTGGAGTAGCAATTTGTTTTAAAGTACCATTTTAAAAGTATTCCATATTTTTTGAGGGGGGACATTTCTGAAAAGGTTTCTCTCGTTGTCTCCCAAATTGTCATCTTTTTCCTGCTGCAGGTCTCAGAAAATAAATTGGGGGAAGGGATTTCCCCCCATTTTCCTGGCCTGCACATCTCTGTCCTGAACTCTGCAAGCTGTCCCAAAATCTTTATCACAGAATGCTGTTGCTCGATATATTATATTTGCTGACTGAGTTTGTGGAGCACTTCTGTGAAGCTGAAGCTGAATAAAAATGGCAGCACAAATACATCTCTGCATTTTATTTCAGGTTGCATCTGACAATTATGGAAAATAGGATCTTAATATTTCTGTTGTAAATAAAAAGTCATAAGCATAATAGCTGTACAGTTTTGCTGTTTTGTAGACAATTGTAATAAAATTATGTATTCTAATTAATTACTTTTCCAGTCAGTTTGTGATAGTGGGAATTTGTTTTCCACCTGTAAAACTCAAGTTTGTTTTCTTTGCTGTCTGATGACTATCCCACAAAGAATTCCATGTTTATAACACCTTCACCAGAGAGCTCAGTGACAGTAGTATGGAGAAGGCCCATTAAAGCATTTTAATTTATTGGGTTGGCTTTGAGGGTTCAGATCTCTCTGTACTTAAGAGGAACTTTATCAGCGAAGGGATATAGCTGAGGAACAGCTTTAACCAAAAAAGCTCTACAATGGCCGAAGCCTTTTCTGGTCTATTAAGGACTGAAATCAGTGAGTACTATGTTGCTATTCCCAGCCCTGGATTAACCATTAAGCAAAATGATCATGTGCTTAAGGCACCAAGGGAAGGGGGGCACCTTGAAGATGAAACATTTTTCTCAGTCGTTATTTCTGTTATGGCTATTCATAAGAAATTATAGGCAGTGGAATCACTAGCACCGAGAACGGGGAGGCAGCAGGGGCAACTATGCAACAAGACACGCTGGATACCTTGTCTCTGCTAAGTATAGAAGATTTGTTATGCCAGATTAGTTTTGAGTATTTGATCAAATACTTTGCGGTTTAAAAAGTAGGATGCCATATCTCTTTGAGGCTAGAAAGCAATGGTATGAAAGATTTTGTTTCATAGAAATCTCTACTAGAATATCTTTTTTTAAAAAAATTGTCCAGCAACATTGTTGGTATTTAATGGCACTGGTACCAGAGCTTGCAATAAACCCAGATGCCAACTTTGCTGCCACATACACCCAGACAACGCAATCACTGGACTTAACATCAACTACACCATCTCAGGCTCAGTCAGTTGCTCATCTTTTAACACTGTGAGATGTAATGAAAATAAATAAACTACACCATCTCAGGCTCAGTCAGTTGCTCATCTTTTAACACTGTCTATGCCATTAAATGCCAACATTGCCCTTCAGTTGCCTCCATAGGACAGACAAGTCAAACCCTATGCCTAGGATAAATGGACACAAATCTGATATCAAGAATCACAAAACAGAGAAACCTATAGGAGAACATTTCAACCTCCCAGGACACTCAATGGGGGATTTGAAGTAGCTGTTTTATTGCAAAGGAATTTCAAACACTTAGGACAATGGAACCCTCAGGGCTTAACAGAGATATCAGCTTCTTATCTCACTACACACACTAAGTCACTAAATTCTCACTTATACCCAGTATTAACCTTTTTTGGTCTTAAAGGTGCCATTGGAATCAAAGTTTCCACATCTGTTAACTCTTTTATTAATTTGCTGCTATTCACAGGTCTTACCAACTGCTTTAATCCAATCTTACCTTTACTTATCGCTCAGTTACTTATACATCTTGACTAATTAGCCTTTCCTGGCAACTAACCCCACCACCACCCCTCTCTCTACCTATATGTAATGGTTGAGGAAGTCTTTCAATGTATCTGAAGAAGTGTGCATGCACACAAAGGCTTATACCCAGAATTAAACTCAAAGGTGCCACTGGACTCATTGTTCTGTTTTCCAGGACAGTAACTCCAAAACGACAATTCTATGTACTTACATTTAGTCGGTGGCAACAGTATATCCTGTGGTTACAATAGCACTACAACAACAATAGAATAAACAATAACAAATACTTCTGAATTATATAATCAAAATATAACAATAGAATTTGAACAAAAGTTCTATGTCACATATAATGTTCTCAAAAACAAAAAAGCAAGGAAGAACTGTTGTTACTTTGTTGTTACTGTGGCTGGTCGAGTTGATATATTTCATTTACTCGGTGAGCCTGTAGGATGTCACCCTAGTGGACGTTGTTGTGTGATCGATCCATCTGCCATCTGCCAGGCTACATTTAAAATGCTTTCTCGGGGATCTTGAAGACGAGCAACTGGAGATCGAAGAATTAAACTCCGTCTTTATTAGCCAATCTCTGTGCAGCTGAAGTTACTACGATCCCCCCAGCAGTCTTTTGCCGTCTACGCTCAGTCTGCGCATGCCCTCTCGTCCTGTCTAATGAATGCCTGGAGAGTGGGGGCTTCTTGATCAGGTCAGGCAGGCGGTTCCATAAGACGGGGAGGGGGGGGGCATGTGTAAGGGCAGTTGTTGACCTTGTTCGTTTGCCGGGTGGCACATGCAGAATGCAGAGGGCCCCGTGGAGATGTCCTGGCGGAAGCAGATGAAATATCAGGGACTCCTGGCTCCAAGAAGCAAAGCGGTCCATCCATTTCCGCCTGACATCTCCTCTGGGGATTTCATTTCTAATTCGTTTTTCCTTTGGAAAATGTTTATTTCCAATGCAAAGTCCAATAAAATGCAAAACAGTTCCGTGTTGCCTTTAAAGACTCTCAGATTCTTTGTAACACAGAAGCTTATGCTACAATCTTTAACATGTAGCGAGGCTCATTTTTTTTCTTTTGCTTTCTTGCAGCAAACTAACTGGGTATTTACTTCGGGACTCTGCCCTTTAGAGATCACGAAATACAAAGCGTTGTTCCATTCATTGAGTGTTGATGATGTAGGCTTATTCACGATCAACGTAGCAGCTCTGCAGTGGTGCGCCGTGATCGTATAGTGGTTAGTACTCTGCGTTGTGGCCGCAGCAACCTCGGTTCGAATCCGAGTCACGGCAAACTTTTCCCCCTTTATTTTTTGGTTTTTTTGTGTGCAGGTTCTCATTTTGTAACACGTTTTTCCGTTTACACTTATGATTATCCGATTCAAGAAGCTTTTTTAGAGGAACCAAGCTCCTTTTCCCTGTAACTCCTATAACCATATTTAGAAATAACATTCTGCACAGTCGGGGAACAATACTAAAGAAAGTTTACAGATTTTTGTGCATACACGCGTTGTGTTTTAGAACCCAATTTGAGCCGGTTCAGAAACATGACATTACCTCTGGCAAATTATCCCCGTATTTAATAAGAGCGATATAGTTTGTTCCAATGTCAATGGGAAAGCAAAAAGGCTAATTAAAGTGATTCAGTAGTAACTTCAGATGTTTTTGTTTCTTCCTGTTTGTAAAAATGAGATGGCCCGTACGGGGATCGAACCCGCGACCTTGGCGTTATTAGCACCACGCTCTAACCAACTGAGCTAACCGGCCAGTGTTGACATCAAGTTTCTCATTTTCCCTCTTGCAGAAACCAAATTGAATTTAATGATGCAGCAATTTTATTTCCAAACCAGGTATTTCCTTTTACATAGACCCTGAAAACAAACATTTAAATCTTTTTTTTCATACGTCATGATCCGGACTGTCGTGACAGAACAAAAAAAGAGGAAGAGACCGGACATGATCGGACTAGCGGCACATTCAGTCCAGCTGGAAGCGAGAAACCAGACGAGGATAGAAAAATTCACTCTTTTATTACATTTTTTTTTTAGTTAACACGGGCAAGAATGCATTGCTAGCTCCTAGACCGGTTAAAAATTTAATGTGTACCTCCCCGCCAATTTGTTCATCCACACTTTAAAATGGGAATGAGCCGGTGGGGGCTCAGGGTTTGCCTGCAAAACTGCTGGAGTCACAAAAGGGACTGAGATTTTTCCAACGTCATCTGGATTTACTCCTAATCTTCGCACAAGAGGGGAGCGAGCGGGTGTGCTTGTATAAAATAAAATGCGGCCATTAAGAGACACTGAAGTCCAACATGATGGAAAATATTTCACACCATTAGCTTGGAAGCTGGAACGTTCTCCTGGGCCGGGGAAGGCCGCATCAAAAGAAGAAAACGGAAGAACGAAAGTCAGAGTTTTAAAGCAAACCCATTAAGAAAGGTGAAGGGCTTTTATCAGCAGGTAATACTGTTCGTCGCTTAGATCAGGCATTTATGAGAGCTGTCGTGATCTATGAGTAGCTTTTACTAGGCTTTAATGTCCTAAGAAACGCAAATAAACAGGAAAACTCTAACATTGTAATGGAAGCATCTGCTCACTTATTCTTTAGAGAGGTTTTTTGCAGCATTCTTCACTAACTTTGGGCGCCGTGGCTTAGCTGGTTAAAGCGCCTGTCTAGTAAACAGGAGATCCTGGGTTCGAATCCCAGCGGTGCCTCTAGGGTTCTTCGTTCTT